ATTTTAGAGTATTTGGGATATCAGTTTTCTAACAGGAACCTCAAACTCCTGGGCTCAAGCGATCCTCCTGCCTCAGCCTCCTGAGTAGCTGGGACTACAGGTGTGCACCACCATGCCCGGCTAACTTTTTTTTTTATATTTTTATAGAGACAGGGTTTCACTCTTCCTCAGGCTCAAACTCCTGAGCTCAAGCTATCCTCCTGCCTTGGCCTTCCAGAGTGGTAGGATTACAGGCGTGAGCCACTGCTCCTGGCAGAGCTTCAGTTTCTTCATCTCTAAAGTGGGAATAATAATAGTACCTTTTACATGAGACAGTTTTTGTAAAACACTTAGCACGGTGCCTGCTACACAGTCGGTGCTCAATAAATGACAGCTAGCATTAATATTGGTAAAAATTTTCCTAAAGCTATAAACTTAGAATAAACTCTATTACTCTTGCTACATTAAGAACACACTGAAGAGCTATTCTCTAAAAAACTGTAAAGCTTCAAATAAAAAAATTGAAGGAAAGTACCAAAAGTAGTTGTTTGCAAAAAGTAAGGAAAAAATGTATCACCTACTTTATATCAAAAATTAAGTATAAAACTATATCATAATTGCTGAATTAAGGTACTGACAAGAGACTTAACAGAAAGTATACAAACCCTGTAATATTCCCAATGTTCTGGAATATAGCCTTCTGGAATTTCTGCTAATTCAGCTTCACCTAATAATAGAAAATGGTGATGTTCAACTTTAACATTAGGAGTTTATAATATTAATTCTTCACCATTAAAGTAAGAAATCAACTTCTTGTGGACCTTAAAGGACCTTTTCTTCTATTTGTACCAATGAAGATATCTGATATTTTAAATTCACTTTAATCTGACTGAAAATCAGTTCATTCCTTAGATATTTTTTAGACGTCTTTTATGTGTAAGGTATTATCTACAGGCATTATCTGAGAGTTTCTCATTTTGTTTTATATAACAAGATATATTTTTGTTTTTATATAATGTAACAAGATATAATAAAAATATTATTTCTTCTGGTCTCCCTTGTACCTACTAGACAAAATATTTTAGGATTCAAGGTGTTATCATGGAAGTACTTTGAACAGAATTTCCCATGACAATCTAGTGTTTACTGTCATTCACATTTTCATTCTTTTTTTAGGGGATTACAGTTTCATATGTTCTAGGATGGATGAAAATAATTTTTCTCTCAGCCTCTCTTCCACCTCCATCTCTTTCTACTTTCCTTATTTAGACTTGTCAAAGCTGGTTCTGGGAAATGAGGAGGAAGAGGAAGACAAGCCCCTCGATCTGGCCTCTCTAGAATTGGTGACATCAAAGGTTTTGGGAGAAAAAAAAAATGTGTTAAAAAAAAAAAACACTGTATACTAACGCAGATTAAGATTTAGTTATTTTAAAATAAATTGCCATACTTGAGTTTATTATTTAAAGAGTTTTTCATTACCATATCCATAGTTTCCCTTTTTATTTATTTTTATTTTTTTGTCAAGACAAGATCTCGCTCTGTTGCCCAGGTTTGAGTATAGTGGCACAATCATAGCTTACTGCAGACTTGAACTCCTGGGCTCAACTCCTGGGATCCTCAAGAGTAGCTGGGACTATAGGTACATGCCACTATGGCTGGCTTATTTTGAAAATTTTTTTGTAGAGATGGGGTCTCACACTGTTGCCCAGGTTGGAGTGCAATGGCACAATCATAGCTCACTCTAAGCTCAAACTCTGGCCTCAAGCAATCCTCCTACCTCAGCCTCCCAAAGCGCTGGGATTACAGGTGTGAGCCATCATGCCCAGCCTATAATTTCTTTTTATATTAATGTATATATGTTTAAAAAATTTTCCAATGTGGTGGTGCTGGGGTGGGGGTGATGACTTACCAATGAATACATTCACCAGCGTTATGCCAATTGCTACTGGAATCCCAGTCAATAAAATATAGAATCTCTGTTAAGATAAAAAATAAAAAGTTTTTTCATGTCCACTTCCTAACTCTCTACACCCTCAAATCATCCTCATAATGTAATTTCCTTATATTTCTTATAAAATAAACTTGCCAGATTGGGGATACAGTATCAAATTATTGATTTCTGTTATTTTCTTTTGTTCTAGTTTTTAGATGCCTATATTTAACACCAAAAATGAAAGAAAAAAGTAAGGACTAATTGTATAAGTATAATACAATATATATTTAAGTGACTTTTTAGTTAAAGCAATGTAATGTAAGTTAGAAAATATCATATTAAGAAGAAAGTTGTAAAAACATTAGGGCAATCTCTACCACTGAACAAGGTTTGAGTTGGTGATAAAAACAAAAGTAGGAGCTCAACCAACTGGATGTAATGGGGAGGCAGTGAAGGATGAAGAGGGGCATTAAACACGATGGGAAGGCAAGAAGGTCTCAAGGGCAGCCGGTACTCAAATGATGAGTCAGAGCTTTATAAACAGAAAGTCTCGACAATCTTCCATTTTTGAGGCCTCTACTTGTACTTACAGAGCCTTGAGATACAAATAGGCAGTCAGTACCCGCAACAGTCCCCAACCTTTTTGGCACCAGGGACCAGTTTCATGGAAAAAAATTTTTCCATGGACAGGGGTGGGGGTGGGAGATCTCAGGTTCAGAGCAGCTGTAAATACAGATGAAGCTTCTTCACTCACTTGCCCACCTGTGCAGCCACTCCCCGAGTTTCACAGAAGGCAATTTTTCTACAGATGGGGGTGAAAGGGAAGCTCTGCACTCTGGGGCCCAGACCAGGGGTTGGGGACTGTAGCCCTAAATAAGCAATACTATATTATTGCTAAATTAAGATTGCACTATAGGTCCATGTCAGTCTCTGAAATCTATGTTCCTGAACAACGTATACATAAAAAAATCAAATTCCAAAATAATGTAGCTCCTTTATTAAAGAAGTCTTTCAACAAGTTCTTTGGTAATTTCAAGACTATTTTAGTAACATAGATAATCTTCCCCATGTGAATCAATTTTCAAAGTTTTGCAATTTGCAGATTTTTTTTTT